ATTGTTAGGTTTATGCGAAACTATAGCTTTTTGTCAGTATCATGAATAAGATAATGTGATATCGGTTACCAGTAATTGTTTGGTTACTGAGCAGACATCTCAATCCTACGGAGGATCGTGATCACTCATTATATAAAAATATATAGGTTTAAAAAATATTATTTTTAACGAGACGTATTTCAACTAAACAGCTGTTTAGTCCCGGTATGGGACACTTCAGCAGTGCATACTCATGACCAAGTCACTAAGGATCGAGACCAGGACCTTAGGTCTTCAATACGAAGCCATGAATGGAAGAATTCGACGATATCGAGTGTGAGGCACACATCCACCGAGTACATTGGAAGATGGTTGCGCGATATCACGAACTGACTGAAGTCAAACATGTAGATCACTAGATTCTGGTTCAGTGGTTTAGAGGTTAAATGTTCACACGAGAAACTAGAGGTCCTGGGTTCGATTCATGCTGGCGATGTTGTGGATGTGCATTGCTGGGGAAGGCCATACTAAGACTAAACAGCTGTCCAGTGCTTTCTGATTTTCAGTCGTTATTCGATTAAGATCATTCCATGTTGTTAACTGTGAAATTGATAAATCTTCATAAACTCCTATAATTGTTGAGTTTTTTTTCCAATGGTTTGGCAGCTACTGTCAGTTCGGCATGACAGCTACTTACAACTGATTACTAAATTTCTGAGAAACGCTCCCTTCACATCTAAATAGATTATAATAATGTATTCATTAATGATTGTTTCGTAAACAGTCTTATAAAAGTTCTAGTGAAAAGTTATAACACGTGAAGTCAAAGAATTAAGTGGTGAGGCTGCCAGTAAATAACATTTTTGGTTGGAAGTTGAACTATATTGTCAATTGGCTGAAATTTAAAATGTCAACTATTATATTCTAAATTAATTGTCTGTTGTTGTCGTGCTAACAACAAGACTTTCATCGTAGGCTAAATTCCATATGCGGTGATGGCATTACCTAATTCTGACAAGTCTCGAGACTAAGACAGCAGTAATCCTTCATTTCCGAATTTTGGATGATTTTCTGTTCCATGTTGAAAGGTAAATTGGAAATGAAAATCTTAATCACAATACAAAATATTTATTTTAAAAGCCTCAAACTACTTGAGTATTGCAAATGTATGAATCTAGCATTGTTTGCGAGGTGTAGACTGTTATTACTACTAGTACAGCATGAAAATCCATCAAAATTCATCATCCGATGAAAAAAGCCGTGCAACATTGGATAGTTACTAGACATTTAGTATTTTCCATTTATATAGATATGTGTGAACAGTAATATACAATTAAGGATGGTCAAATGTGTTCCAGAAGTCTCATAAAAAAAAAATCAAAAGATCTATCTTAGCCCATTACAAAATATACGTTAGAAACTGGTCTTAAGACTAGTTCATAAATTTTAGTAATACTGAAATTAATTTTAACACTGAATGGTGTTAATTTATACTATTCTTCCCTCCTATGATACATTTTTAAAAATATTTCTACCACTTTTCTTGGAATGCATGTTAATTTTCCCAAAGGAGGTCGTATATAGACGCTATTAGTTTAAGAGTAAACATAGACACACCAAAGTACACTGGAAAATAACAAAAGGAGATTAATAGATTATATTTTGGAATAACAGCCACAACACATTTGAATGACTCATTTGTACGGAAAATGAACAGACAGGTTGAATGTTTATTTTAGACGATTAAAACCTATTGTTTGATTTACTTGACGTGATTTTAACAGGACAGTATTGTAGTAAACGAGAAAACCAGTGGGATAACCGAATGTGATCGAATACAAACTTACAGAACGTCTTAGTAAAATCTCAAAAACATACGGTAAATACTTCATTTGTAAAGTGTCAATCGATTGTCTCAGGTTTGATTGTTCCTTTGTTTCCACACCAATCATTCCTTGCTCTCGTTCTCTTCTCTTCGATCTTTCTAACATTGCCACGTATTTCACTTTCAACTGATTATACATACGACTTATATTTGTCGACATCAGTTACACCACAATATTATTAAATTTGTCTATTTCATGGTGTGCATGGAATCGGTGTTAGATGTAATGAGTTTTTGGCTAAATAAGGTTTATGCCAAACCTTTTGGGATAAAAATAGTATTTCAAAATGATTTTTTATTGGTTAGGAGTGATTATCAGCATGAACAAATATAGGTAGAAAAGTTTAAAACGAGGGTGTATAGGACAGCTACCTTGTTATAGTTTGGATCTATTAAGTAGTGAGTATTCACGAGGATTTAAAGGATAATACTCAAAAAGATCTATTGAGCCTGATGGTTACGGTCCAAATTTAGTGTAGCTGTTCTGTCAACAGGTTATATAAAGTTGTTTATGTGTAGTCTTATCTATTTCATGGATAGTTTATGGAAACGATTTGTGGTCACTAATAATAAACATATTTTTGTTATATTCCAATGAGTACCTTAGAACTTTTAAACTTGTGTTAATTTAATGTCGGTTATTTATTTACTGATGTATGGGCGAGAATGATAATGATTGGTTGTTTGCATAGTTAGACTAGTAGATAGTCTGACAGGCATTAAATAAGTTATATATTCTCCTGTCCTTATTATTATTGATTGATTGTTGTCGGTTTTTGGTATGGAAATATATTTACGTCCTAGTCTGGCTAATCACGTGTTCTTGATTTGAGTTGTGATGACGTCCTGTAAAATAGACACTGGGAGAGAATCTAGTGTAGATATTCGTCTACGGCAAATTAACGTCCCATGCGTGCAGACGAAGAACTAGCGTTATAACATTTACTCCGAAGAAATGTCTTACATTAAGTTACGAAACATCAGAAATACAAACTTCCTACTCATTGGGATATAAAAAATATGTTTATTATTAACTCACTACCCAATGCTCAATTTATTTGAAACTATCAAGTCCAACCTTGGTATGGAAGCCTATATGTATAGCCCCTGTTGGTGAAAACTTGCCTGACAAATGAGCTTAGATTTCAGCAAGGAGCTGGACATGAGATCACAATAATGCACTTACTGATAATTACTCTCAGGAAATTGATCTATCAAGTACTGATAAACTACTATCATCCACTGTGTTATGCTGTATAATACTTCGTGTATATAACCTGATGATTGTTTACGGTTGATGGTATGCTGTCGCGCTTGAGTGATTGTAATATGGGAATTGTAGGTGCCTGGCTGCTGTCTTCTCTTCGGATGGGCAACCAATGGAAGCGTAGCTCACGTCCAATTGTACCGGACAGAACGCATCACTACTCAAGGCTAAGGACGCTAGACTATAGTCGGAATACCAGACCAGTAAAAAATCAGGTGGGAGGCAATGCATTACCAACTGGCTTGTATTTCGCTTATTCTTTGTCAAATGATTATATCCAAATGACAAACCTGTTAACTGTTAATGAATGCAGAAAAGCGATATCGTTGGTGGACGAATGAATAGATGTCGTTTAGGACAAGGAATTATGATTATGAAAGATCCAATGTCAAATGCATTATCAATGACGGGCTACGGCCCATGTACTCAATATAACTGGATCAAGTGGTTGGTTGATAGTTAAGAGGTTTGTGGTTGACAATTTCACCTGAGTAATGTTAATTTCCAAGACTATCATTATCTATTATAATTTACTTATTATTGGATATACTCTAGTACTCTTGGTGACTTAAGCACAACCCGTATCCTACGTCAACACGGAATGAAAATTGCCCTTAGAAAAAATCTATCCCAGAAAGGCTAAACACTGACTACAAGTAACAAAATTTTTATACAAAAGAAAATAGAAGCCTTCATAGCTTGCATTTGAGATTGATAGGTTCCATATTTTGATGATCCAATAGGACTATTTTGTGTTAAGAATCTTAAAACGGCCAAATAACTGGTCTCATTAACTCTAAACATTGTAGCCGACTCCGAGGATCCAGATACAAAAAACACTGAGGTCAATAATTCCTTATATGGTAAACAAGAAAACCAGACTAAAAAGGAATTACGACTAAACGACCAAGCCTTTACTCGCCTTAATGGATTTTAGTAGCGTGCACGGAGCTGAAACAAAACAACCAGGAGTTTGTACAATGATCGCTCTTAGCGATGATCAAGGCACTCATGAGTAAACATTAGTGACCAGTAATACCGGCCGAACGCTTGACAGACCGAAAACAGTTGAGTAACAGCAGAAGTCAGTCGTATACAATGTAGAGCCTCGAACAAATTGTGCATCGGCTGAAGTCACTACCATATATCAGAAGTTCACCGAACATGTCAATAAAGACAAGCAAACTGTGAATATTTGTTAAGTGATACTTGTAGAGAACCACTCCTATGGTTTAATAACTGACTGAACTATTTTGAAGCCACATAAGTAATTGAAGAGATTGATCAGCTGATGAGATCGCAAACCTGAACATTGTAGGATGGTTAGGACTCATGCTACTTACCTCAGCTACCTTCTAACTAGAGATTGACTAGTCTTGGTGAAATTTATCGCCTTTACACCACATTTTTTATACGCGGAGACTAACAGGCAAAGATATTATGTTTCGTTACAAATAAAAAATCTAAGAAATTATCTGGAAAGTATATTGCGTACAATTATTTTAATGTGACGCACACATGCAGGAAAATGATTAATCAATGACTTGATTTGACAAAAAAATAAAGATGTTATTTTATAAATTTTCAGACACATTTCTAAGTTGCGTGCATGAAAAGAGGAAAGTAAGGAAGTACAATCATAGGTCCACTAAAAAAGACGACTACGCACATACAAATTTATTAAGTGATGCTTCCGCAAAATATTTAGACAATTATAGTTGAATAAAACGAATTTCAGCTGGAAGGTTACATCTATTAATATAAATGACAAGAATTTCTGTGGTTAAGAGGGTAAGGAACGAAACATGACTAAATTGAAGTACATACGATGAAACCAAAAGAACTGAATAATCTATTATATAAGTAAACCTAATCATCAAAGTGTGTAATACTTGGCACCATAACTATTGGCTTAGTTTCTGCATCTTCTAGTTTGACAACACGAAGTGTGTTTGTAGAACCGGAACCAGCTTTCCAACCAGTTACGATTATTACGAAGCACCCAGGCGAGAAAAATGAACGCTTTCTACCATAATCAATAGCATAGCGAATTCTACGATCCATATCTTCATACCATTCTCCAGCTCGTGGTTCTGTAAAATGCATGAAATAAGTTAAAATCGGGTGAATTTACTGTCATTGCACACAATAAATTTAGTTGAATATTTGATAATTTAATAAAATGTTTTTGATTGTTTATATACAACTTACCACCATAATAGAGAGGATGAACACCACGATAAAGGTGAATTTGACGAGCAATAAATTCATGACGTGTCACAGTGAGAATTGGGCAACGAGGTCTATGGCGTGAGATCAGTTGGCATGAACTATCATATAAAAGAGAATTAATCAAAACGAATGTTAAATATACACAATCAAGATACATATATCGATAGTATAGTACCCTTTAAGGCAAAAAAAAGCAGGGTACATATAAGTGCCTTCTTTATTTCGTTAACCTTTCTATTCTAAATGACACAACACTAGATGAAAACAACTAACATAGATTTTTTAATTAACAATCAACCATCAGATTAGGTAACGCGAACAAAGAACACACTCGTTATTTATTATCGCAGGATATTCAAATGTGATCCTGAAAATGTCAACATTTGTTAAGATTTTTAAGTCCTTGAAATTGTCGAAGAATGATTTCGACATATAGGAACATTCAATATTTATTTTAATCTCAGCCATACGAGTTTTATTGGTTCATCATTTTCGTGACCAAATATTTACATTTATTGTTGTATAGTCTTTGGCTTCAACATTTCGCGGCGTCCTTTCTTCAAGTTGGTTGTTTAGATATTTCAAGTTTTAACAACTAATTCCATTTAGTTTGTTTGGTGATTTTTTCCATCGAATTATTTGTTGAATGTCTATTATTAAAGACAAAAATTTCATGCAGCTTGATGAAGCTCAGTGCTCTTAATATACTAAAGTATTTCCAAGTATTTCATTCACTGTTTTCTAAAAAATTAGAATAGACCAGTCTTAATTTTAATAGAAACGAGAATGTATGTAGTTATTGATTAATGTTATGTAAGACAAAAACATACCGGCCAGATGTTGTAATTACAATAATAGCGGCAGCATTACAACGACTAGCAGCTTCTACTGCAGCAATTGCAGTGGTGTGAGCCATTTCAGTTGGACCATATAAAGAAGCTTTCAAATCTTCAAACAATTGTCCATGAAACATTGCTGCCTCAGCCTGTACACATATACGGTGCATAGTTTGTACAGACTCTAATGGATATAATCCTTTGGCTGTTTCTCCTGAATTATAAAATATAAAATAAGTTGAAAATGAACAATTTATTTTGGTTGGTCGATAATTAAAAACCTGATAATAAACTATGAATATTGCTGTGAATAGAAAAACAAGTAGATTATAATTGAAATTCATCTGCTCGTCAATTAAATGTTACTGCTTTTAGATGTATAATTTATAATTTATGTAATCAGATTTCTGTTGTTTCTCAGATGCCACCACCACCACTTCTCCAGTACTGAGCTAAAATGATTAGTTAGAAAAATCAAAATGGATGAAACAATTTTCTAGTAAACAAAATAAAAGATAGAACACTATCCAAACGAAATATAGGTGGAGATTGATTTAAATTGGCAGGTAAAAATCTGATGAGGTGAGCAATGAGTTGAATAGATGTTTGCATTTTTAGTGAAACCTTTATTTAGATTTACCTCAAGCAGTTGACATTTTAAACTTTTTGATGTAAAGTTTTAACAGGCACTTTAGTAAAATGCACTTAATATCGATGGCTTAGTGGTTAAGTTCAACTTTAAACTACTAAGACCTAGGTTTGAACTCGACTCGGACTACTTCGGTTTCGACAACTACGGTAGGTATCATTAGCTCTTAAACGTAGATTGTAGTTAATACCCAGGTACCTACCTATCAAATTAGTTTTAACATTAAATAATGCGTAATTTGGACCGGCACTCTTGTTGATCAATGAATAATTTGATATTTAAATACCCACTGACCAAATAGATATTTTATTTAAAAGTATTGCATGACTATACGATATCAGCTGGAATATGGACAAGTGTTTCCTATTTGTATGGTTTTTAAAATATTTAGCCCATCAGTGGACAAAACGGAGCTTGGATTTAGTATGTGAATCTGCAGGGACACAGAGTATCCGAGAATTCGGAGAAAAATAGTACGAAAACGCATAATATTTGATTAAGTAAGGTCGAAAATGTAAAATGTAATAAAATCGAAACCAACCTGAAAGCATAACACAGTCTGCACCATCAAGTACGGCATTAGCAACGTCACTTGATTCAGCACGTGTTGGACGAGGCTTAGTAGTCATTGACTCCAACATTTGTGTGGCACATATCACAGGCTTACCAACCTGATTACAGCGACCAATCATCATCTTTTGTGCAATGAAAACTTTTTCAGCAGGGATTTCTATCCCTAGATCACCACGAGCAACCATAATTCCATCAGCAGCATCAAGAATTTCATTAAATCTGAAGATAGAAAAGACATATTAACAAAGATATTGGAAGACAGAAAGATGTAGAGACATTGCCAAGATCCCAATATCAAGTTGATATATCGTTTCATCTGAGAGATAATCATAAGACGGAATATGTAAAAAATTATTTACAACCCTTTACAGTAACGCTATTTTGTTGAAAAGACCAATTTTCCAAAACAGAACCAAAACATACGAAAAATATGAACATGTCATTAAATCAAAAAACGAGAAGAAAAAGGAACAGCATGAGGATACCTTATATTGAATATACCCTAATAAATTTGTTTACAAAAACATAATACTTTAGAGCAAAGGACCACATTGCAGAACTTATAAGCTACGAATTTTAGTTAATCTTGAGGTTTACAACTTGAACTGAGAAAGCCACTAGTTCTAAAGAGCAAGACGCACAAGATTAGTAGGAAACGTTGTTAAGGAAGTTGATATCTGATGATGATTTCCATCCTAGTGATTGTTCAACGATGATCAGTAGTGTCGCCATTTGGTCTGTACATAACCCATCCTTACGGAATCCGGTCTGTTGATCTCGAAGTTCGGTGTTCATTGAATCTTGCATTCGGCTCTACAAAACTTGGTTGAAAACTTTTCCTGTCACAGATAGTAGTGTGATGCCTCTGTAGTTCTCACATGCTCAGATCTCGTTTCTTTGATATCTTAATGAGATATCCTTCATTCCAGTCTGTCGTCACTTGTTCTTCCTCTTAAATCTTCCTGAACAGAACATGGGGCATGTATGCAGTTCCTTCTATGTTTGACCTTACTGCCTCAGATGGTGTGTTGTCTAGTTCTGCTGCTTTCCTACTCTTGATTTGTCTGATGGTCATGATGTTTTCTTCGATTGTTGGTGCGATAACATCTGTGGGAATATATCTGTGTGTGCTGTCTCGATGTCCGGTCGAGGTTCAGTGGAGCTGATCCATTCAAGTTTTCTTCAAAGTTCTTTACCCGTCTGTCCCGCTGTTTCTCACTATCAGTGATTGATTGGCTCTCCTTCTTTGTCCTTCATTGGTCTCTCTACTTCGCTTTATTTCCCTATCGCTTTCTTCGTTGTACCATATAATTGCTACATATTCCCTTTTCTTGTAGCTTTTTCTACTGTCAATGCTTTGTCTTCCACGTATTTCTGTTTGTTAGCTCGAATGCGAGGACGTGTCAAGATTTATTTGCTTGAGTGAGCAGTTCGTTTCGCATAATGTCGTCAGTCTCGCTAACGGATAATTAATCTTAATCGCGGTATTTATCATGTGGTGAACTTTTACATTGACTTTATCTTCTTTAAAGTGAGTTTATAAGAAACAGGTTGTCTTTTCCGCCGTACCGTATCTGACACGTTCTTTCTAGCGTACTTCTCCATGGATGTCACCGGATATGCATTTTGACGTGGTCAGGTTGTAACGAAGACAAATTCTTTTTCCAGGCTCTCCTTTGAGAAAAGTTTACGAGACTAAAAAGCGTTCGTATAATTCCCTTTTTTAACTTATTAGATGGAAGCTCTTATAAATTAAATAAACTTTACTCTAAGTGTTTTTATGGTAGATATGTCTTGGAAGTGTGGAATCTGAAGTCCATTTGATTCCAATATATAAGAAATGGAATTCGCCCTCTACTTTCTGTTCCATAGTAAAGTCTACATCATTGTGTGTGCTTAGGGTACGAGCCGCCATGGGGTCATTGATGCACACTCCTGAGAAGTCCCACGCTAGGACAATACAACTTTCTAGTGCTTCTTGGTTTTCAATAACGATATGGCTAAGGTTAGTTCGTGATTGAAGCAATGAAAATTTCACAAACTACATAGACATCTCTATACTGAAAACAAAGGCAATCCAGAGGAATGACTTTTTCTCTCAAAATATTATTTACCAGAACTGTTACTTATGTACGCCTGTTACCCCAAATGGAGGATAGGCCGCCGACCAGCATTCTCCAACCCATTCTACCCTGGGTCTTCCTTCCTAGTTCTATCCAACTGTTGTTCATTATTCCCATGTCTGTCTCCATTTTTCGGTGTAATGTGTTCTTTGGTCTTCCCCTTCACCTTTGGCCTTGAGGATCCCAAGTGAGGGCTTGCCTTGTGATGCAGTTGGGTGCTTTCCTCAGAGTGTATGTCCTATCCACTTCCAGTGCTTCTCACTGATTCATTCCTCCGATGGGATCTGGTTTGTTCTCTCCCACAGTAGGTTGTTGCTGATAGTGTCTGGCCAACGGACAGTTGTTAATGAACACTTGTATTTTCTGGATGATGACTTTCGTAGTTCTGCAAGTTTTCGCCCCATACAATAGAGTTGTCTTGACATTTGTATTGAAAATTCTGACCTTGATGTTGGTTGACAGTTGTTTTGAGTTCCGAATGTTCTTTAATTGTAGATATGTTGTTCTGGCTTTGCCGATCCGCGCCTTTACATCTGTATCAGATCCACCGTGTTCATTAATTATGCTTTTCAGATATGTGAAGGTTTTTACATCTTCCAAATCTTCTACGTCAAGTGTGATTCGATTGTTGCATGTTGTGTTGTATCGGAGAATCTTACCTTTCTCCTTGTGTATGTTGACACTTACTGCTGTTACACTAGACTAGAACCGTACAATCGTATTTATGAATATTTTGCTCATAATTGTTTACAAGGAAATAAAGTGTTGTAACAAACACATAGAAAGTCAAATTGGATAGCTGCCATTTAAATCTTTTCTTGATATCTTATCTTATAAGCTATCTGTGATACTTGTTCATCTCTTCGATTATATAGTGTTTGAAAATTTTTGGATTAAGGTTTGGTGCATTTGTCAATGATGTATTAGTTCCCCATTTTATTATGAACCATTATGTTTTATATATATATATATATATATATATATATATATATATATATATATATATATATATATATATATATATATATATACTATTGTGCAGTCATATTAAACGACAGTAACGGAAAAACATTTGAATTATGTTCATTTTGCTTGATAAAACAAATGATTGGATAATTACAGTAATCGTTATTTTTTTTGTTACTTACTATATATATCGTACAGATTAAGTGACTTTGCAAGTGTTCAGTGTTAAAAATAAAAAAAATAATAATATGCATAGATTCCTGGAAAAATTCATGATTATTATTCAAAAAATTTATCTGGATAATAAAATAATTTTACCATATTACTAAGAGTTATATTATTATCGAATGTGTTTGTTTTTATCATCTAGGTGATAAAGTAATCGCATCGTATTTATTTTTCTAAAAAACTGTTTAATTATAGTATGCAAAGAAATCTATGTATAGACTGATAATAGATTTGCATGTTCGAAACTATTTATTTTACTGTGATGAATGGTTTTTGACAAAATTTTCATTAATGGACCACATGATATAATGAAAACTAATGGAAGTAGATAGATTTAAGATATGATGTTCTGATGTGTAACTCAATCTTTTTTATTAACAGATTGTAATAAGAGTTTAGATGGAGTGACGAAATGATGACATTTGTTTTAGTGTTGTTTTAAATTATTAGCATTTTATTAGAAACTTAGCAGAAGCAAATTCTTGCAGTGGAATTATATTACATCAAGTCTCTTAGATAAATGCAATCACAGCGCTATAATTATGATATTTTTATAATTCAATAATAAAATTTTTCCTATCCTAAAGGTATCGAACAAATAACTCATATAGTACAATCGAATGCTACTCTAACAATAACATCAAAACATTCACATTATGTATATTCTGTATCCCTCAAATAGTTGAGTAATATCTACTCTAAATAATTTTCTATAATGGTTTGGGTGGTGAATTGTAATCTATATTTGATTGCCGTAGCGCATGTGGGTTTAGATGCTTTTAGAACGGTTTTCGTTTACTAGATATATTTGTGCACGGTAATATTGAGGAACTTACCTTTGGACGCCTTCATGGTTTTCGATTTTAGCGATGATTTTAATGTGGGAACCATTACTGCCGAGAAGTTGACGGATCTGGTGTACAGCATCAGCATTCCGAATGAAAGAGGCAAACACCATGTCAACCTTGAAAAGGTTTAATCGACAATTTATGAAATGATGAAACAGAGAAGGCAGAATTTACAAATTGTGTGCAGTAACTTATCACATGTAATATAACAACGTTTTTGAGAAACTATATATCACCTAACTAATTTTAAATGATTCTTTTATGAAGCACATTTGTGCAATATTAGGATACAGAACAAGTTATTGAAAAGCAATGCACAGGACAGGAATGTTTGTACTTTGGCATCGCATTTAAATCAAATTCACTGAGAAAAACAGTGTACATTTGGTAATCTATGTGGAACTAACAGTAAGATTAGTTTGTTAACGAAAAATTAAAACATTATACCATTGAAAAGATGAATAAGCAGTTAATATTGTTGATTAGGAACCTACGTTATGCTCAACTGCAAAACGAAGATCTTGTTTGTCCTTTTCCGATACTGCTTCTAAATCGACATGGGCTCCTGGGAGATTAACTCCTTTACGAGACCCTAGCTTTCCACCATTTTCAACTTCGCATTCAAGGTAATCAGGACCTGATATTAAAGGGAAAAATAGACAGGCACAAATCATATTGTGTACCAATCTAAGTATACGGATACTTTATAAATATTTTGTTTCGAATAGTTCTCTTACTGCATAACGTACACTTAAGTGGAAGCAGAGAATATATTTGATATTTACCTATGATAGTTATGCTACTATAAATCTGTTTACAATCTCGTCTGTGAACTTGCTTAAATAGTTCGGTTAAGATATGGTATGCGTCAGAAGAGCTTAAATAATAACAAAAAACGTCTTGCCGGGAAACTGTGAAATGAAGCACGGGTTGATATGAGCTTTTTTTGGGGAGATGATTGCTGACTAATTCAGAGTTGAACAAAGGATATTTCGAACTGTAATATTGGGTCGTTTGGTCAGGTGGCCATGGTATTTATTAGACCATCAACTTTGATATTGACTATCGAAGGAAATAAGTTGTAGAATTTAATAAAAATTAGCTTTCTTGTCACTCATCGGTTATCATTAACTACCAAAACTAAGTTTTATGTATAAATAATCATACGTACCTATGATTTTTAAGGCTAAATAATGAATTTAACGTTTGACTGGAAATAATGCAAAATGAATCAACCCAAAAAATATATGGGGAATCAACAGACACATTTGACATGGAGTCGAACCAGGAGATCAATTACCTTTATCCAAAACCACTAAGCTTATCAAACCATCATCAACGAAAATCTTTGATCCTTTAGACAGAACATGTACAATATTTCGGTAGTCCACATACAGAATAGACTCATTACATGCTTCCATGTATGCGCAATCAGTGGTTATACGGATTTTATGACCAACTTGAAGATTGACTTCAGCGGTCCCACTCTATAAGAGAGAATGCAAAAATATATTAAGTACTTACTATATAGTGTATAACAAAAAGATATACGTGCAGCAAAAAGAAGTCGGCGTGGTTCAGAAGACACGTACATACTTAGGTGGTTAACAATCACTTTAATTCCAAGTGAACCCAGCAACCTTAATAAATAGTTAACATTTGAGTTACCTAAATCATTCGGTTGAGTCATACCTTTCGATATACTCTATATTTTCTTTACATGAAAGAAAATGAATGTCTTACAAGATAGTCCTGGAAACAATACTTACATATTGACATTAAGTAATGTTTAAAATAGAGAAAGGAAAATCATCGCAAGTGCTTATAAATGTATGTAATAAGAGTCAACTAATTTCACGTAGAACTGTAAGTTTTGCTAATAACTCGAGTTGTTTTCATACCTTTTCCTAATAACATTGAATGAGAGTAACGAACCCAGTTGTAGATACTTGAGTAACTGAACAACAGAAACTGCTAGAAATAAATAGAAACGTAATGCCGGTCATGTAACACACTTAAATTTTTAAGTAGAAGATTTGAACAGTTGGAAAGAGATAAACGGATGTTTCACAATTGTGATTAATATTAACCTTACCCCATTAATGAGGCCAGTACGAATTTCAGGTCCCTTGGTGTCCAAAGCAATCCCTATTGGTCGAGGGAACGGTTTTAAAGTTGAGGCAGCCTCTCGGACCAACTCAATGGTTTTCGCATGATATTCGTGACTGCCGTGAGAGAAGTTCAGACGGGCAATATTCATTCCAGATGTCATCATATTTTGTAGCATCTCGACAGTGCGACAAGCAGGACCTAGTTTACAAAATAAGCAGAAAAGTGAAGTCAAGTATTTCTAGAATCAAATGTATACATAAACTAGTTTTGCCAGTCTTATAGAATTAGTGAGTAACAATAATGCATGAACTAATACACAGGATGAAAAGAAATCTTCCTTAAAAATTCACATTGCGGCACGAAATCCAACTACTGATGAATAGTGATACTCTGTTGATAGTTATGCTTATTTTTGTTATGTTTGAAGTTAATTGAATATATAACTGGCGTTCATCTAAATTATTGAACACTTATTGTTTGTATAATTTTAATGATTAAAACTTGGTACGTTCCATTTACCATAACAGTAAACTAAGTTTATGAATTACGGGATAACCACAGATAGAATAGCCAACATTGTGCACCAGCTCATTCTTGTTTCCCGAAGCAACAAATCTGACTGACCTGAAAAAAACGATTGCTTTCCAGTATATATACAAATAGTTGAGAATAGTTTGGCAGCTTAGTTTTTACACTTGGTAGTCAAAATGAGATTTTATGAAGGTAAAGAACGTATAACCTAGTACAATATATTGCCCCAAGATGCCACATTTTGCTTTTGGTTGTCCAGAGAAAATTAAGATGTTTAGTATATTCATAATCGCTAGACAGATGGGTACCATCCATAAACCTCACATTGCGTAGTGAACCTTGAACGTAGTTCGCTAGACAACAGTAACCTGTTCATACAAAAATGAAATAGCAATTATGGAGTTGTATGATCCAAAAGCGTCCTGATGAACTTGCCCAAGCGTAATATGATGGTGGTTACTGCATCTACTTTAACAAAACAGAGCCGACTGGTTGGCTTAAATTAATAAGATTGTCTCTATCCAACCTAGTAAAATAGCACTATGAAATGGATCCTGAAATCAGAACGCAAAAACACTGGTGAACCTACAATCGAGTTACTTTTCTGAGGATCGACAATATTTATGATACAGGACAAAAAGAACTGAATACATTGGTCCTAACTATAGACCCGACGCGGTTAATAAATTTTTATAGATACACATCAACTATATGCGTAACGACCACACCACCTAGGAGTGAATAACCTAATACCTTAAACCGAAGACCTCCTATTACTCACAGAGCTGTTTACGACACAAATTTATTTCTCCTCAAGAAATATTACAAAAAGAGACTTTCGCAGTAGCTTACCGATGGTGCATATTATACCAGTATTTCGAACATATTTGGGTTGATGGTCGATATCAAGGCTAACAACATGTTCCAATAACGAACGTGGATATACAGAAAGTGGTGGGTTCTGGTGATACGGGGAGGCCTCGCCGAACCTTGAGACCGAAGAAACCCCATGGAATGAATGACTTCCAATAGACCTAAAATTAAGAGACACTATATTCACTTTTAGCCACAACTTACAAGTCTGAACCTAGCATCACGTAGATAAAGGCCCGAATTCGTAAATGCTCTGTAAAGCAAGTGCGAACACAAATCTCGATTGGTTAATTTAAAGATATATTGAATATTCACTATGTATGAAATTAGCCATCAAGGTAAACATAAAAGTCTCCGTTTCACGATGATATCAAGACTCAAAGACTTAAAGCGACATAGACATGCAGCCAAACGTTCAGTTTCAGTATGGAAAGAACAGCAGCCTGGGTAGCATGTGTTATTCCTGGCAATGTTGGTCTCTCAGTTGGTCAAACTCTCCTCAGAAAGCGTTGACAGATGGAGCTTCAGTAGCACACTGAGGCAATGAATTCCATTCGTTGATGATCCAATGGGAAAGTCGATTGTCAGCTGACAAGTAGTTTGTTCTGGGCTTGTAATATTTTTGAGTGTATTCGTAAATTCTCTGTTTTAGAAGACAAAGAAAGTGAGGGCATATCAGATGCGGATTTATCAACTCTGGTTCTTCTATATGACAATGGAAATAGATTTAATTTAGCCAGTCGAACATTATACAGGAGCTTAGCTATCCAGGGAATCAGCATAGTTGCAGTTCTTCGAACGTTTCCCATCAGATCACTGTCTGTTTTCAGACAAGGGCTAGCCGCTTGTATGCAATAGTCGAGTTTAGGACGAACGAATACTGCACACGAAGTCGAAAAGTATTCAGCATGGAAATGGATAAAGGCCCTATGCACTGACCATAGATTCTAAAATCCTGGACAATAGTCGCGCGGCAGTGTGTAGTAGTTTTTAGATCTTGGTTAATGATGACTCTTCGGTCGTTGTGTGTCTGGACAACAAGTCGCTCAATGTTTTTCACTGTGTATGTATCTGTATCTTGGTGACCAAATTACATCACAATGCACTTGTAAGCATTTATCGGTAAACGTCAAATTCCAATCCATCCAGATAATTGTCAGTACATAAGAAATCCGACGATGATAAGGGACTAGAAAAGTTATTTACATACCGGAGGAACAACAATGGCCACAAAATCGGGCCCTCAAACAGTGAGCTATCATCGTTTCCCATCTAGAGCATTTTGAGTTTACTCGTACTCTTTGTTGACGCTCACATCAAAAGCTTTGTTGAAATCAATGTAGGCCATTACGGTAGTGCGTTATTAAAGTAGTTTGTGAATACCTGAGCTCCTCCACTAATGACCCAGTGTTGCTGTTGCCATATGATAGGATGTTGCGTCTTTTCTTAGCCCTATGGATTTCGTATGAACGTAAGCGTTTAGGGATCCCTTAGATTCCTTAACAGCATTATTGATATCGAACTTTAATATAACCACTAGCTTCTTTAGTCACGTGTGTGAGTAACCTCGTCAAAAATGTCTACCAGGCATGTACTGGAAGATCATGTTCTAATGAAGGTGTGGTGCTATGGGTCGGTCAGACCTACTTCAAGTAGACGATCAGATAATTGATCTTGTAACACTTTTCCATTATGCGTGACATTATTGGGGCGATAGTTATCGGTCCGTAATTTTCGATCAGGTATTCTGGTCCTGATTTGTGTTTTGGGACAATATTCGTTATCTTCCAGGTTTCGGAATATGTACCTGCCTCTAAGGATAATATGAATGTTTTGAGTAATAGTGCTCTTTTGTCCGGTCCAGCCAACTCAGTGTGGATCTATGGGGTGTCATCAGCACCATAACCTGCATTCAGCTTAAGGGTTTTAATAGCGGCGTATATGTATGGTCAGTGAAATGTCACTGATCCCTAGTCAAATCCTCTGGCAATTGGGTCACATAATATCGAACAGACCATCGATCCCTGTCAAGGTCAGGGACAACCAACGCGCATCAGTTAACTGTATTCCATGGACTGGCTTATGACGTAGTAGTTTCACTATCTTCTCTGTACTCACTCTGTACTTACTACAGTTGGAACTTGTATCATTTGTAACAATTTGATCTTGCCTCATGCCTCATGTAACAAAATGTTATTTGAGAATAAAATATTATTATTATTATTACTAATATATTTCCGTAACAGCGTCCTTTGGGATGTACGGTCTTCAAAGCATCCATAGTACTTTGATACGACGAAGGGGTAATTCGCGTTAGGTGCTGACCGCGAGGTTTGATTTCGACGTTTGCTGTTAGTCACACCACTCCCGTCTAACTGAAGTAGGCCCCCAATTATTCAACAGAGGTCGACGTTGATGATCCGCATATATGCTCATAAGATAAAAGTTAACGGCACTAAGTATATTTTCGATGGTGCATATGGTGTTGGTATCTGGGGTATGAAATGTATATCTATTACGAGGAAACTACTCACTTAGTAGTTCATATATGACAGTCTGGTCATAATAATCCATGCTATCGTACAGTATGAACTGAAAGTTGTGATCTTCACCCTTTCCTATTTCTTTTTTTCAAGAAAACAACATAAGTTTCTGGTCTTAGATGCAGTAGTCAGCGCAATACTTTTTTCGCTGAGTTTGCACTCCGTCAAGTACAGAGTATATTTGAAGCAGGACACCAAAGCGTTTTGATATATAATACATCCTTTTTAGTTTTCGTAGCTTAGACCTAGTTCTTCAGTCGACAAGGGGAGTAATTGAAATAGTGTTTAGTGCGGATTTAGTGTTTCTAAGAGCTTATTACTCGTAACGAAACTGTTCCAGTCAAAGCGCTTTATTGAAAATCAAAAGTTCTCCCAGTCAGCGTGCACGTATTCTCTATGCCGAAAACGTGTATTAATTGTCATGGATTTGTTGCATTTGTCAAGAATCGGTAGAGTACAGGGGACTATTTTATGATGTCTGTTGTGAAACGTTTCCACAAATATTGGGGTGATATTGCGACAGAAGCCCATGTCGAGTTGTTGTTTCGTGTAGGCAGCTACACGTGTTGCTGCCTACCATGTATGTCCAAGTACCTGAGTATACTTTCAAAGCACAACAATCCAGAGTGTGTCTTCCAGTTGATTGTGAGAAGGTTGAAATCAACACACATAGTTAGGAAGGCGAAATCAAGTGAGGCAGTATTAGCAAGTGACTCACTTATAGTGGTGTCAGTTGAATTAGGAGTGTTCAGAGCTAGATATGTACATGCAATTATTATTTTACATTCATTAGTGTATAGAGAAAGCCATATTGAATCGGGTAATTTGTTGACGACAGCATTGCCATGAAAATCTGCACCCGCATCTTCAGATGCCAATACAGAACAACATACTCCTCCTGTGGATCCCATAGGCCCACTTTCGCTCTCTAGCCCACAAAAGAGAGGGTCTAGCATTGTGTCAGAACCCAATCCGGTAAAAAAAACAATCTCGCTCAGAAAGCGCTAATCAGACTAAAAAATTGAACCATTTAAACAATGTACTCCTAGTTGAACGACCTTCATTCAAAACAATTATGACGCCTCAGGATGAAAGCCGAGATTCTTCGGATGTCATGAAGCCAATGCCCCTTCTAAACACCACAACAACAATTTTTATAGGTACATGGAACGATCCACACAATGTGGAAGACCGTAAGGACTAGTCGAAGATCTGCAGAATTAAAGAAATACAACTTGACGGTTCTCGAAATCCGTGAAACCCATTGGATCCTAGTTGGACAGAAGAGGTTGGGCAGGGGGAGATGTTGCTGTACTCCGATCACGCAGAAGAAAATGCTCCACACACTAAAGGAGTTGCTCTGATGCTGTTCGAAGAAGCACAAAATGCACTTATACGATAGGAATCGCACGGATCCACTATCATCAAAGCATCATTCGAAACAAAGAACGAGGGAATCACAATGAATGTTATCCAATACCATGCACTCATCAATGATAGCAGAGACAGCAATACAGATAAATCCTATGAGAGGCTACAATCAAATACAGCGAAATACCCAAGAAAGGACCTCACAATTCTGACGGGAGATCTAAACCCCAAAGCCGGAATAGACAACACCGGATATGAAGATATCATGGGACGACAAAGAATGACTAGGAGAAAGGAACGAGAATGGTGAGAGGTTTGCAAATATATGTGCATTCAACGAATTAGTTAAATTACCAGTTTAGGGTTTGTGAAGATTGTTAAGCTTTTGATTAAAATCATGAACCGACTGATGTTAGACCACCATTGAAAACCTGGTCGAACGCGTCGACAACTTCACTCATTTTGGAAGTCTGGTGAGCCGTATTGGGTTGGTGTCAGACGAAATCTCAGCACAGATTCGGAAAGCTCATTTGGCTTTTGCCAACTTACGTCACCTAGGGCGAAGGCGAGATATCAGTCTATCATCGCTGATTGTTGTGCTGGAAAAACGCTGACCACTTATACTCGGGAAGAGGGACCTCTGCAATTCCCACGACGCGAAAGTAAGAACACAAAGACTGGTATAAGTGAAAATTTATTAGCTCCAAAACACTATGGCGACGACGATAATGATGATAATAGTGATTATCTAGTAGAAAATACACTCATTTACATATTGATTGTACACCCATTTTGATTAATAATTAGGATGAAATCACATATATGAAAAATACTCCGAGTTATAACAAATCACATACTGAGCATGGTTCAGGTCAATGGAATACAAGAATATCGTATATTATACAGGATAAAATATCATACAGGAAAAGAAAACAAATACTACATTGAGTAATCATTATATTGAATCAAAACGGATGCAATGATGAATAAAACTCACATTGAGTAAATCAATCGAAAATTGACTTTTCTTTCCATCATATCACAAGCACAGCGAAATACCCAAGAAAGGACCTCACCATTCTGATGGAAGATCTAAACCCCAAAGCCGGAATAGACAACACCTGATATGAAGATATCATAGAACGACATGGACTGACTGGGAGAAAGGAACGAGAATGTTGAGAGTTGCAAATATCTGTCCATTCAACAAATTGGTTATAGACGGCAGAATATTCCCACACAAACACATACACAACGTTACATGGGTCTCGTCGGACTACAACACGGAGAACCAGATAGACCATATA